CCCGCTCCGCGCTCGCGTTCCCGCGAACACGTGTCGCGTCTCGAGACCGCCGAAATCTCGCGCTCAGGACGTAACATAAAAACTGGTGACAAGCTCGGTGGGATTTAAATTCACATTTCGGGCTTTAAACCTCGCGCATTAAGATTTAAATCTCCCGTCGCGATTTAAAGCTCATGTAATAAAAGATAAAGGAAAACGAAAATCAGTAAAAACAGGTGACAAATCAGGAGGGACAACAATGCTAGGAAATATTAAATCTTTCCCTTTTCCTTTATTTTTAGATGTGTAGACGCGCCCACAACTATCGCGAACGACAGCAATCTTCTGCCGCCGTAGTATATACACACCGTGCGGACAGAGCAACTTGTATATTTGAAATATTCTATTACAACGAAGGAACGTTCGAGATAGCGTGTATCTCGTGTATACACCAGATACCCACGCCAAAACGAAACCTTTATTCCGCGATATACTCGCATTACATTCGTATCGGTGGAAATAAATTCCGGTTCCATTGCAACGAATGCGGAAGACCCTCTGTCATTACCACCAAAGCAAACGACTGCGGAATTTGCATGGACACCTTCTACCGGTACTCGCTATACTTAGAAAGCCGCAGAGAAACCTACGACGACGTGACTGACGGAACGCCAATAGACACGAAGGAGCAGCAGGTCCCCGTGGGCACCATTATTTCTCCGCGACTAATTAATTTTTCAATCTCGCTACTAAACCTTCGAAGGGAAAAATAGCGAGTCGAGACCACCGTAAGACGTTAGTAGCAAAATCAAGCTAAGGCGGTTAGCATTTCATAAATTCGTATAAAGACGGAGCCGCGCTAAAATCAATCATATATAAAAGACACTGATAATATCCGCAACGAGACTCCCAAAAATTCTTCTACTGTTGTAGATGCCTAACTCGCGAGAAACGCACAAAAGGGCGCAGTTCATCCGAAGAAGGATAAGGGAGCTTAGGAGAGCCCTGCGTGAAATAAATCGCGACATACGCATACTCGATCTCCGGTTCCTCGCCAGGGTCTTATTAGCCCTTGAAGAGCAAGGATACACACTGAAAAATAAAAAAAAATAACTGTAAGTCAGTTAAAAAGGGCTCTTTTCTCTCACCTATTTCTTACGAAACTATACAAAATGACGGAACAAATACTGCAGAAAATTTTTTTATTTCCCTTAAACTTCATATACATAATGTTTACATACTTAAAAAAATTATTCATTTCCCCCGCCTCACGGGAAGAATTAAACTCCAGACCTCTGACCGACCTGCAACAAAAATACGAATTAGCAATTAAAGAAACGCAAGACAAA